CCTGTTAATTTTGAAGCAACTCGTGTCAATTTTTTCCCAGTCAGTGGAATTTAAAATGTCATTAATTATTAGTTTATCCCATTATCTATTTTTGAAGCGACTCGTGTCAATTTTTTCCCAGTCAGTGGAATTTAAAATGTCATTAATTATTAGTTTATCCCATTAACTATTTTTGAAGTGACCTGTGTCAGTTTTTTTCCCAGTCAGTGGAACTGGGATCTTGCAGAGCATGATGAGAGGAGGAGGAGGAGGAGCAGGAGGAGGAGGAGGAGGAGGAGTGTGGAATAGGTTTTTTGGGGGAAGCTGGAGCTGGGAAGCAGATTTGGTCCATGGGAACCGTTTCTTGCTCTCTCCCACTGCCTTGGGAAGGGCTTAAAAGCTGAATTAACTGCAGCTCCTCTCGGCCTGGGTGCCTTTGGTGGTGTTTGCACGAGCTGAATGCAGCCCAACCACTTCATTTTTGGGGTGTGGGGCCACGTGTGCCCCACCCCCAGCAAACCCCCGGGGCCAGGGCATAACAACCACCCCCAACACCCCTCTGAAGGTGCCTGGGAACAGCCAGGGCTCCCAAAAAGCAGGAGGAAGCCGAGTCAGAGCAGCCCTGTGTGTGTGTGTGGTGCAGGTGGATCCACCTGCCAGGGGGTGGGAGGTGCAGGAGCAGGAGCAGGAGGAGCAGCTCCTGCCCACGGGAATTCAGGTCTGAGGCAGCTCCTCGTCCTCCAGGCCACGTCTCAGCTCCTCGGGATCCTCTGGTTTGGGTCCCTCAAGCCCCTTTCCCCCAGAGACCCCCAAATTTGGGGTCTCTCAGGCCCCTCCTCCCTGAGACCCCCCAAATTTGGGTCCCCTGGATAACAAGGGGATAACCCCCAGAGCCTGGCTGGACTGAGGGGTTTTCTTTTTTGGGGGGGAAAAAACCCACCATGGCTGTTTTGTTTTTTTTTCCCCTTTGGGATTTAAGGTCCTGGTGTCGAGGCCGATGCTCTGACCTTGGTTTGGTTTGGTGTTTTCATCCCTCTCCATGATTTCAGCCTAATTTTCAGCTTTCCCTGGTTTAAGTCAGGTTGGTTTTAGCCTAATTTTCAGCTTTCCCTGGTTTAAGTTTGGTTGGTTTTAGGCTAATTTTCAACTTTCCCTGGTTTAAGTTAGATTGCTTTTAGCCTAATTTTTAACTTTCCCTTGTTTAAGTTTGGTTGGTTTTAGCCTAATTTTCAACTTTCCCTGGTTTAAGTTTGGTTGGTTTTAGATTAATTTTCAACTTTCCCTGGTTTTAAGTTAGATTGGTTTTAGCCTAATTTAATTTTCAGCTTTCCCTGCTTTTAAGTTTGGTTGGTTTTAGGCTAATTTTCAGCTTTCCCTGGTTTAAGTCAGGTTGGTTTTAGCCTAATTTTCAACTTTCCCTGGTTTAAGTCAGGTTGGTTTTAGCCTAATTTTCAACTTTCCCTGGTTTAAGTTTGGTTGGTTTTAGCCTAATTTTCAGCTCTCCCTGGTTTAAGTTAAGTTGGTTTTAGATTAATTTTCAACTTTCCCTGGTTTAGGTTAGATTGGTTTTAGCCTAATTTTCAGCTCTCCCTGGTTTAAGTTAAGTTGGTTTTAGATTAATTTTCAACTTTCCCTGGTTTAAGTTAGATTGGTTTTAGCCTAATTTTCAGCTCTCCCTGGTTTAAGTTAAGTTGGTTTTAGATTAATTTTCAACTTTCCCTGGTTTAAGTTAGATTGGTTTTAGCCTAATTT